CAATTTTTATCTGACCATACCGAAGTAGGGAATTTTGAAACTTTATAGTAATGTGAAATTTGAATTACAATATTACACGATATTACATAATTAGTACTTATTTTAGGTAGGTACTAAATTTGTACTTGGAGAAAGTAATATCGATTTTTACAAGAAAACTTGAAAAGTAAATTAATTTAGTTCTTATTTCTGATGTAAAACTTAAACCAAGAAAACAAATAAATTGTAGTTTGTTCAACAAGGGTGGATATGATAGCCATATCACACAAAGACGAAGTTTGAGCACGACGTCGTAGGCGGAGTACTCAATCGTCTGATTGTGATATGAACAATCCACTCGATATGGTCAGTATATTTTTTCTACGACCCACTAACGAAAATCTACAAATTTAAAAAATTATTTTAGGTTATTTAGACAAAATAACTCATTGTAAAATAATTTACGAAGTTGACTAATTTATATAATAAAATAAACATGAAAAATTAATTAGTCCTCGGCCTAGATTCGATCCCGGGCTTTTCGCATGGAAGGCAGATGTTCTGTCCTCATCTTCACCGAAACTTTCAGGACTTTAGTTTTAATACTCGTAATTAAATTAGTATCATGTAGTTTGATTAAAATTTTTTTTTTTTTTAAATGTGGACATAATAAAAACAAAAATGCTATTATTTATCGAGTCTACACAAAAATTTTAATGTATATTTAATATCAATAACTAAAATATATATTGACACTTAATTTAACAGAATTATCACTTATTTAAAAATTTTTAAATAATAGGAGTTGGGTGACCAAAATATGAACTGTGATTTGTAGATTTAATTTTGTTAAAGTGTTCTCACTACCTAAAATGGATATGAAATATATTCGTAGTTGAACGCAATAACATAATTTTTCGTTTTGTAGTATGTGCGTAGATTGGCTAATATCCATGCACAGATTACAAAACGAAAAAGTATGCTATTGCCTTCAATTGAACGAATATATTTCATATCCATTCTAGGTAGTGAGAACACTGCAAAAAAAAATAAATTCGTCAATCACCGTTCATATTTTGATCAACCGACTGCTATTATTTTTAAAATTTTAAATAAATGACAATTCTGTCAAACTAATTGTCAGTATATTTTTTAGTTATTGAGATTAAACATACAATAAAATAAGTTATTCTTTTGGAAAACGTTAGCATGGATGACTAAAGGGTATTGGGTTAATTAATTCTAAAAGTGTGGTACAAATGTTATTTTTTGTAGCCAATTCTTCAAAATTATTTTAAAATATCTTTTCAATATTGAATATTAGTTCTACAAATTCATCATTTGACAGTTGCAGATTTCCAAATGTATCTGAATTGGCGTTATCATATGCCTTTTAAAAGCAATAAAAAGAAAAATCGTCTAATTCAACGTGATCTTTGTTATATTTAAGACAGGTATCGCAGGAGTGGATCCGCAAGGCTTTTATTAAAAGGTAACCACACACATACCTGATAAAATTTTTCTGTAGCAATTCGTCTTTACAATAATTTAGGGTGTTAATAATTTCATCATAAAATAAAATACAAGGTGTTCCATTTAAAAAACATACATTTTAATTTTCCAGGCAAAAACGTGACACCCTGTATATCCAAAGATATTTTTAAAATATGTAGGTATTTTTCAAATCCATATAACTTTTATTTAAAACTTTCTTGCGTGTCTACAACAAAATAATGAACAATAACGCACTAATGAGACACCCTGTATAAATTATATTTTTAACAATGAAAATTTCTTATAATGTAGTACTTATCGGTTTGGGTCCTTGGGAAAACTAATGAATGTTTTTTTGCAGGTATAACCCTTATTAAAACAGCTTTTGACTGCACAAACTCATTCTACTCACAGCTAAAGAGTCACCAAAATAATAACAGTACCTTTAACTCAAACAAAATCAACGAAATTATAGGCTCCACGAAATTATACAATCAACGAAATTATACGCACGACTCAACACCTTGCCTAAGTACGCTTCTGAACGCCAAAACCGTCTTTTCCCTTCGAAGGCGGAGCTTAAGCGATGCGCGACGAAATCGACGCAAACCGTTGCCGCCAAGAGAGTGTTTTAGCTGTATTGTATAAGCTGTGGCAGTAGTAGCGAACTGTCTACGGTACTCTTTCAGGCAGAACGAAATGACGGGTCGCCTTGAGTGCTATAGTGAGGTCAGGCTGTTAGTTAATGCTCACGCATTGTTCTATTTGACCTAATTATTGAAAATTGTTATTATCAGAGGTGAAATTCGCTCACTAAAAGTACCACGGAAGTGCCTGGGGGTTGACTGTTTCTGTGTATATTTCCAAGAATATTGATTCGTTACATTTATCAGTTGATTGATTGTTTGAGATTGTTATTGGCAATATCGGTGGTATTCATTTGAAACACCGTCATCCTGTAGAGGTAAATAATTGTATGGAGCCGATAGAAATGGTATTTTCTTGTTTTGAAAAACAAATGCCACTATGGAGCTTACTATTTTAAAAAGAAACTTACCAACCATCTAGCTCTCGAATAAATTATATTATTTATTGATTTTGATAGTTTTTTTTTTCTGAATAAATTTATAATTCAAGTAGCTGATAGATACCGGAGAGAAATGTAGAATGGCAAAAACATCCAACTGTAATTTAGAGCACTGATAACGTTAAAAGGTGCACGCAACCTAACTTTTAAAAATAGTAAAATACCATATAGAATTGAATGCAGTGGTATAGGTTTCAAAATTTGTTTTTATGATGTGGATAATTTAGCAGTGATCTACTACGTTATTTTGGACAGATAGTATGTAAACTATGTTAATTAATTTTAAATGAAATAAATCGGATTTTAATATAGAATCGAATTTAATCGGTGTTGGGAATAGTAATACATAAAATGAAACGTATTGAATTAATGTCTATGTAAGAATGCTGTGCTCTTGTGCTTCTCACCAAAATTCTTATGCGTCCCAGTTCGACGTATCATTCTACGAAATATGAGTAGCACTTGTGAGTCATGACAGGATGGTCCTAGCCTAGCGATAAGCGAAACATCTGAGTGGTTACAACTGTCTTTATTTGTAGCCTTTTAATTTTGGTATAAATTCGATAAAAAAAATGTTTTCTTCATTAAAATGAATTTATATTGTCTCTATCAATGACCGGCTGAGAGAAGCTTAGAAAAACAAAACGCAAGAAACTTTAACATTTATTGTTAAATTTGTTTAAGTTTGGAAATAATTATTCAACAATACATACCACTGAGTTAAAAATAAAGCTATCTAGTGACCACGTCATTAAATTAGCAGGGGTGCTACTGGGAAAATTTGTCAGGATGGACGAGCGCTCTTTTTTAATTACGATTAACTGTTAATTCGACCAATCGGAAAGTTAAGTACAGGTCAGGTTAATGTTGTTTTCATGTTACCAGAAAGTCAAGTACAGGTCAGGTTAATCCCTGATAGTATCTCTGAACTTAATGATGTATTCTTGCCACCAGAAAGTCAAGTACAGGTCAGGTTAATCCCTGAGGAGTACCTCTGAACTTCTCTAGTTTTATTTAGTAACAAAGTTAAGTAAGTTAAGTACAGGTCAATTAAATATCTGAGGAGTACCTCCGAATGTCCATTTAAAGCTTCTGCTTTTGTAAGTAAAAAAAAGTTAAGTAGAGGTCAGTTAAATATTTGAGGAGTACCTCTGAACTTTAATTTTAAGTTTTTTTTTGTGATTACAGAAATTAAGTATAGGTCAGCCAAATATCTGAGGAGTACTTCTAAACTTATTGCTTTTATTTTGTCTGCTTAGCACAAATTTAGTGAACTCTTCTGAAATATTAAATATAGTATAATTGTTAGCCTTGTGAAAGCTTTATGTTTTATAAATGTGATCTGGTAAATGGTATGAGGGATCCGAGAAGCTTTTATTTTAGATGATTTAAAATTGAAAAATGCTGGACGGATATTGTTGAAATCCGAGGATCATAGCTTTTGTTTTAAATGATTTAAAATTGAAAAATGCTGGACGGATATTGTCAAGAATAAGGGATGCGGGAAGTGATGGCGGTAGTAGCGAACCGTCGACGGTACTCTCTTAGGCAGATCGAAATGATGGATCGCCTTGAGTGCTATAGTGAGGTCAGGCTATTAGTTGATGCTCAGTCATTGTTCTATTTGACTTAATTATTTAAAATTGTTATTACGTGTTTAACATGTCTATGATGCAATTTCGGGTGAGACCAACTTAGTATTTTATTTTTTCAAGAATATTTTATAAATTATTTAAAATCATAAACTCAAATCTTTGTGTTAATGATTTTTAAAATAGCTATTTTATCTTAATGACCTCTAAATTAATTTTTAAAATTTAGTAATTTTATTTAGTGGGTTATAGAAAAAATAATATACCCTACAACTCGAGTGGATTATCCGTATCGCACTTAGACAATTGAGCACTCCGCCTGCTAGGTAATGCTGAAACTCAAACTCAAACATTTATTGTTTCCGAAACAGGTATAGGACATAGAACATAAAATATGTCTAGAATTTTCTAAAAAATCCAAAAATTAAAAAATATACAGGTTTTGCATTTAAAATAATAAATTGGCCAATGTTACATAACACGTCCTGCATAAAAAATTAATGTTAAAAAAATGCGCAACCAAAAATACCAATCGACGTGTCCGAGTGTTTTTTTGAACACGGCCTCATTTATTTATTACCGAATTTTTTCCATTTGGCTCTTCCACACTGTATGTTTGTCGTCAGTGTGTTACCTCTCATTGACACGATGTATATTGTTGGTCGCAGCGTTTCACTAACCATCTGTACGTCGAGCTGGTTTTCGTTGACCGTTGCGACCTCTTGGTCGTAGTTGGTAGTTGCGTTATGTATAAGTAACATTAACGACCAGGTCGCGACCTGATCGCCCAGTGCGCGCACGCCCTTAATCTTTGCGATATATAAAAAATAATTTGGGTAGGTACTTACAATATAACCTTATCAAAACTGGTTACTTCTTTGATGTTGTCTATACACGTTACATCATCAACAGTAGCAGTTAGATTAAAATCACGACGTATTCTTCCATTAATTATACTACTACTATAACTGCGAATAGTATTTTGATCATGATATTCACCTCCTTTAGGTATGCAGAGACCTCTGTGGATAATAGATCTATCAAATGTTGATTTATTAGTGGTTAAATTCTAAAACAATCCAAAATAGCTATAGAACAGGAACCTAAATGTACTAAAGGGATATTTATCAAGTATTAATATTACTTGGTTGAAAAGTAATGATTGCGTATATTCTTAAGAACTGGCTATCTACTAATACTTGAGAAAATTGTATAACCAAAATAACCGATTTTATAATATTGATAATGGACAGTAATAGTCATGACATCAAAACAAAGTACTTAGGTTACATGCAATTTTCAAACTTGTAACATGTAATTTATTCAAAGGTAATATACCAAGATTCTGATAATAGTCAGTTATTTTTGTTGGATCTAAATCTCGAGAATATTTTATTAATAATTTAATGAGACATTATTTTTGGGATTAATAATCTGATTAGAGCTCGAAAGATGAGAGAGCTTAAATCAATTGATTATTATTGCCAAAATTATGGAGAATCAAATTGTAAAATGTTCGAAAAATTTAGAAACAACAAAAATAGAAAAATATTAATCAAGGTCGTGTTATATTTTGGAGGACTAGTTCTCTAGACTATTTTTCTAAAGAAATAGGCGCTGATATTTGGTGTAGGGAGGTAGTCTACACAAAACCACACAGCATCGACTTCAGATAAAATATATGCTGCATTAGTGTGACTTTAGTAAGCCAAAGAAACAAAAACCATCATATCATTGATTTTAACATAAAGGTTTTAAGTTTTTTAATATACAGGGTATCCCAAGTTTTGGCAGAAAAAGTTTAAAGGGAAAGTAACTTAAATTAATTAATATTAATAATTAATTAATACATTAATAAGCCGTTCTTTGATTTTATCTTGCTCGTGACCTTCAGCGTCATCTCAAGGTCAACTAGGTTTTTTTTTAATATAGGCATATATTTTTAAATAAACCATGTTTTTTATTACCAAAAAATTTACAATTTTTGTCTAAAATCGTAGAGGTTATTGATCTGTATAAATATGGGTATTTTCGCTTAAACGTTTTAAATCTATGATTTACTTTTAATAATGAAAACTGGTGAGCCAAAAACAAATACCAGCAATACGTTAAATAAAAAAAAAATCGTTAATTTAAAAATAGTTCACACTGTAAGCCACCAGTCTTCACATTAGATTTTAAATAGCCTTAAAGGGAAAATCAAGTGGCGCCGTATCTAGTGAATGCGCAGGCCAAGAATGCAACCTTGGTTTTCAATTCATCCATTTGCATTAAGCCTATTTAGGACATTTGTCACAATTTATGAATTGTAAGATGAAGCAACATCTTGTCACTAAACTAGAGTTTACCCTTGATTAAGAGGAATAGATTCCAATAAACCAATAAACCTGTTAAGGTTTCTTCGCAAAAATAAGAACCAGTTAAATACACATTAAATAGATCACACCATACTTTACAAACCGTCTGAAAGAGTATTTCTCGCACCCACCGCGGCTTTTGATTTGAGCCATATTGAGCATTGTGTTTGTTCACCATGCCATTGTTATGAAAACTTTCGTCGCTCATGGACAATTCGGTATAATCGGATTTTATTTTTTTTTAAACTTGCAAATGTGCAATGAAACCAAGCCTTTCTGAAAATCAGTTGATTTCAAATCTTGTACTTAATGAATTTATGCGTCAAGATGAAAATATTGAAGCCTTTCGACAGGTTAATGATGAAAATTCAAAAAACATCAATTTCAGAAGTGGCCGAAAAACAAATTTTACTTAAGGCAAATATAAACATTCTAAAAAAAAAATAAAGCTATCAAGGAGCGTGCCCATTAAGGCCGCATTTCCTGGCACAGCACGACCAGCACGGCCAGCGCGGTCGGAATTTCCTCAGCAGCAAACCATTGCTTCTGCATAATTAGACCTAAATAACAAAACAACTTTTTCTATCAAAGCGAGAGGTTGTTTTTCAGTAAATGGTAACTATTCGTTACACAAGTACTCGTTAGTCGTAAAGATTCGAAGTAGCGATTACCGATACAAAATAAAAACGGCTACTTCGATTACTACGATTAATTGTGACTGACGGATACCATTAAACAAAAATATAAGTATACCTAACTACATCTATTAATGACTAGGGTACGCACATGCATTTACAACCTCATAAACTATATTTTGAATAAAGATATACCAATAGTTGCTTTGGTTTTTAACCCTGCTAGGAATATGAGCTATCCAAATCAGTTTATTGGTTCTTTGCAAACATTTTTTAAAGGTTCAAGTGGTTTCTAAAAAATTGATAATACACATTTTTTCCAGCGTAAATTTTTTGTTTACATAAAATTAAGATTAAATTCTGAGATGAGAGTTTGCCTGTGCTGTGTTTACTTATGTGCATCATTTTAAAGCGTATAATCCTTTTAAAAATTGAAATGGAAACAGAAACGAAATCAAAACAAAAAGGTACCAACATGTGTTTACTGGAAAAATTTATTTTTAAATGATAATATGTAATAATAATATATATACACGAATCCAATAAACATATTTATTCTAAAATAGTTACTAGTTCCTTAGGTATTATGGAACTATAGGATCATACTTATCAAAGTAACGATTACTTTAAGTGAGTACCAAATACTAAAAATCTGATGTGTCCAACACATGACTTTCCTATCTAGTTATTACAGGCTTTTTCCGTTTATTGTGTACAACCTATTGCAGCATCTCTATAAATGTTTAGAGGATAAACAAAATATATACATTGTCCACATGCATCTACCGCGAAATATTTTTCTATAGATATTCATTGAAAATGAAAATACCGAAAAATTTAAATTTAGCACTTTTCCTACAATTTTTCCATTACGGTCCATTTAAAAAAAAGTCATGTATGAACAAATATTATAGAGATCGATATCGCAAACAACTTTTATTTCAACAATTTTCATAAAAATCAGAATTTTGCACATTTTGTCAAATTTCTCGAATACGGACCATTTCAGGAAATTTTTACATAAAACAAAAATTAAAGATAATAATATTAGAAGTAACTTTTATTTGAACAATTTTCTTCTCTAAACATAAATAACAGATATATTCCATAAAATATAAAAACGGCCTCCCATAAAGTACCCCCCCAGCTGTTCCGACTTTGTCCAAAATCTAATCATTTCACGTCAGGCCGAAATAAAACTTAAGTTTAAAATTTATTGATATGTTCTTTATCCGTTTTTGAGTTTTCTTCAAATTTCAAAATTTACACATTTTCTCAAATATCTCGAATACGGTCCATTTTAGAGAAATTATCTATGGGACAAAAATTATAGAGAATTATATTACAAACAACTTTTGTTTGATCAATTTTTATAAAAAAATAACTTTTTTTACATTTTGTCAAATTTCTCGAATACGGACCATTTTAGGAAAATTTTGTATAAAACAAAAATTATAGATAATTATATTAGAAGTAACTTTTATTTGAAGAATGTTCTTCTCCAAACGTAAATAACAGATATATTCCATAAAATATAAAAAAGACCACCTATAAAGTACCCCCCGAGATGTTCCGACTCTGCTTAAAATCTAATCAGCTCATTAGACGCTGGAATAAAGCTTAAGTTTGAAATTTGGTGTTTTTCCGTGTATCGGTTCATGAGTTATGCGTTATACAGACACACACACACACACACACACACACACACACACACACACACACACACACACACACACACACACACACACACACACACACACACACACACACACACACACACACACACACACACACACACACACACACACACACACACACACACACACACACACACACACACACACACACACACACACACACACACACACACACACACACACACACACACACACACACACACACACACACACACACACACACACACACACACACACACACACACACACACACACACACACACACACACACACACACACACACACACACACACACACACACACACACACACACACACACACACACACACACACACACACACACACACACACACACACACACACACACACACACACACACACACACACACACACACACACACACACACACACACACACACACACACACACACACACACACACACACACACACACACACACACACACACACACACACACACACACACACACACACACACACACACACACACACACACACACACACACACAGAGACACACACACAGAGACGCACACACAGAGACACACACACACACACACACACACACACACACAGAGACACACACACACACACACACACACACACACACACAGACATCATCGCGAAAATAGTCAAAACGGATTCGGGGGACCTCAAAACGTAAAAATCCGTCGAAAACTCAAGGTCGAAAAAAATCATGATTCCTATACTTTCCTTATATCTGTATACAGATAGGAAAGTAAAAAGTAACTAAAATCGACATATCTACGCAAACTGATTCACAGGTTTTGCCCTATCGAGAGTACAAATCCTTCGTCGGCCTGTGCGCGCGACACCGAGCTGAACGGCTCCAACTCAATGGGCGCTACTCCATTTGATTACAGTCATATTAAAATCTGCCGGCCTTGTTGGCCGACCTGTGCCGTCTTGATGAGCGCGCTGCTTCATTTATATAAGCTGCAATGATTTCATGAGCTTTTTCCAGTGGATTATCCAGGACTAGTGGAATTTTGTAAATAGTTCCAAAATACTCTAAATAATAAAAATATTCGTAATATAATTTGCATCTAAAAAAACTTGGTAGGAATATATCAAAGACGATTAACCGGTTCCATTTTTTTAATGGCACACTAACTGCTGCACAATATTGCAGTGATATACTCAGCTCATTCATAAATCAACTAAATGATGAGAAATTACAAAATGTTTTTTTCAAACAAGAACATATGACCAGAGAAACACTCTAATATCTTAGAGAATTTTTTGATGACATCATAATTAACAGGAACACTAAAATTCCATATAATAAAAAAATGTATAATAAAAGCATGAACTGTAACAATAACATTACTTTGATCAATTC